GGATGGAACAATGGTTAGTGAAGTAATGCAATTAGGTGATTGTAATAGTAGAGCCATCTATCAAGCATTAATGAACCACATTTTCCAGCCTTACTTGGGTGACTGGATGGATATCTACCTAGATGACTTAGTGATTTATTCAGACACAATTGAGGATCATATGCAACATCTCAGAACTGTCATTGATATATTGCACAAGGAGAAATTCTACCTTAGTGAACATAAGATACAATTGTTCCAGAAAGAACTGAAGATACTAGGACACATTATCAATGATCAAGGCATTAGAATGGACCCTCATAAAGTCGATTCTATTCAACAATGGAAAGTACCTACTAATAAAGATTTGTTACAAGGTTTCTTAGGATCAGTAGGGTATTTAGCACCCAATATACCTCAGTTACACATTTCTACAGGTATTTTATCAAAGATTGCAGGAGAAACTGTATTTTTCAGATGGACATTCACTGAACAGCAAGTGTTTGATCAAATAGTAAAGCTAGTATCAGATTTCAGGCATAATCACAGGATAGTATTGGACTATAGTAAGAATGTGCCACCTATTAACATTGTTACAGATGCTTTGGCTTCAGGAATTGGAGGAATAGTCAGCCAAGGTCATGATTAGAAAGATTCTAAGATAGTAGTGTTTTTCTCAGCGAAATTAAACCCTGCACAACAGAATTACCCAGTACACAATGTAGAATTACTAGCAGGAGTAGAAACTATGCTAAGACACAAGAATCTACTACAGGGAACACATTTCTTTTGGTATACCAATCACAGAGTGTTAGAACACATTCTAAGGCAACTAGTATTAAGTGGAAGACAAGCCAGATGGTTAGAGAAGATATCAGACTTCGATTTCACTGTAAAATACATTCTAGGCACTACAAACATTCTTACAGACATGTTATCATGCATATACTCAGGAGATTTACCAGGAACAACTTGATCTCAACAAGAATATACATTACAACTTGATGACAATGATCTATCAAGGATTAATCAAGTCAGGAATAACATTTCACAGCTGTTAGAGATACAGGATACTACATATATTGAGGCTAGACTAGCAGTAGTAAGGAAAACTTCACCTTGAGGATTGATTGCAAGTTGACTACACAGCAGAAAGGCTAGATTAATTACCAGACATGCTAGAAACTCACAGACAGACCTCTAAACAGAGGGTGGGCCTGCTACAAGGACTAGAAGCCAGTTTACAATACCAGAGAATGCAGAGCAAGATCAGGAAACAGATACACACAGTGAGGTATTGGAAACACTGTCTCAGGACACTGAACAATCAGATTTGCATGAAATAAATTCACCTGTAAACATACCAGACACTGGAAGTAATATGCAAGGATACAGACATTCAGACAATGATATTAGATTGGAAATTAATGATCAGAACGTCCCAGTACTAAAGAATGCTACTGATCAACTCTGGAACTCAATTGAACTACAGTTACCTGACATAATAGCTCAATCTTTACTGGATTTACAATTCCCAGAATGTCTCAAAGGCAGATATCATGAGGATAACTTCTTCAATCAGATATTACAAGATCTGAAGCACTTCCAGAATTTTCATGTTGAAAATGGACTCATATTTTGCTAGGAGGGTGAGAGGTACATACTTTGCATACCTAGAATTCTAATACACAACAGAAACGCTAGGGAAATTGTAATAGAGCATGCACATTCTACTTTAGCACACCTAGGACCACAAAAGACACTTTTGTACCTTAGAGAACAAGTTTGGTGGAAGGATATGATTATAGACATTAATTCCTACTGTGATTCGTGTCATACATGTAAGATCAGCAAACCTAACAATCAGAAACTGTTTGGTCTACTACATCTGCTCTCAGTACCTAATAGGCCTTAGGAAGGCATAGGAATGGACTTTGTTGGACCTTTTCCTGAATTGAAGAACTGTTTGGGACCTTTTGATATGATTTGTACAGTTATTTGTCTATTAACTAGCATGGTACACATTATTCCTACTAGGCAAACATACAGAGCAAGAGAAATCACAGAGATAGTATTTGAAAACGTCTATAAACTGTATGGATTGCCTAATTACATTGTTAGCAACTGTGATTCCCTATTCACCAGTACGTTTTGGAGAAGATTATATGAACTTATAAGTATTAAATTGAAGCTATCAAGTGTATATCATCTACAGACTAATGGATTGACTGAGAGAATGAACAGAACAATTACTCAGATGCTCAGACAGTGTATTTCTCCTAAACAAAAGGATTGGATACATAAAC